TGAGCGAGACCTCGCCGTCCCTGGGGGGGCTGCGATCTGCGACACTGTCGCCACTTTCGAGGGCTGCTGGTGGGTCCTGCAGAGCGAAGCACCGCGGGGATCTGAGCGAGACCTCGCCGTCCCTGGGGGGCTCTGGAGAGCTGCTGCAGGATACGTCAGGCGCAACGGGCGCATGGCACAGCCAACGGGGGTGATTTGTGAAACAGACCATCTGCCAGGCGATGGCCATAACGTTGCGCCTACACGTACCCCGCGGGGGCTCTCAAGGGCTGCTGTGGGATACGTTGGGTGCAACGGGCGCATGGCACAGCCAACGGGGGTGATTTGTTATTACGTAACCCTGAGATCTTGATCGGGGGCCTGCGAGCCTTCCGATTGCTGCTCGCAAGATCACATGCGTCCATGTCACGTCGTCGCCCCCGTTGTAGCAATCCTGATGTACTCATGCCCCGCATTGCGCAGGGGTTGGGTACGTCGCCTGGGTACTTTTTCTTCGAGCGATCCCCACAGAAACCTTCGGCGTTTGTTCCCGACGGTGCGCGCGCCTTCTGACACGATGCGCGCAGCGCCCACTGGCTTCGATCCGCGCGGCGGCCAGGCCAGGTCGCAAGTTGCCGCTGTCCGAGCATGAAAGGCCGGCCATCGCAGAAGGAAAGCCCCCGAAGAAAGAAACCAAAACAAGCCCTGGGCCGAACACATGAAGGCGTGGTGTGAGCGAATCCCCGAAACTCGCTCTGAGAGAACCTGAAACCTGCTGAAAGAGGGGGAGGGGGAAGAGGAGGCTAGATTCTGTTCGCTTGGATTCTGCACCAGGGTAGGCATTATGTTGTGGTATGGTCTGTTCTGGACGGGCCAGCGTGACGTTGTGACGCCTGTCACGTTTGCTGCGTCGTCTGATCGGTCGTTGCTGCGCTCATCGGTTCCTGTGGCAAGCCTGACCTCGGCGCGCACGTCGCGCTTGCTTGCAACAAATACGGTACAGTATGTGATGAAGTGCCTCTCCACTCATGTTTTATCGTATGCTCAAATATGTCGTGTTATGATCACAGGTTTCCCTTATGATGTAATATGTTATGTTGTGGTACGATAGCCGGCACACTGTTACATCATGATATGGTATGTCGGGCCGTGCTATGATATGATATGTCCAGTGATGATGCGTAGCTCGTTCCGGTACCAGATGGTAATCTATGTTACGACATGCGTTTTCAATAAAGGTACAGTCGAAGATGTTATATCAAAACCGTTGCGGTGGTGGCAGCAGAAGTAGAAGTCTTATATGTTATGGTATGCTGGCTACGCTTTGCGACGCTATGTGCACGATGGTAGGTTATGTTATGTTATGGTCTTCCTCCGCAACATTATGAAAGTCATTCCCCAATCAGAGCTTGTCTCTGTAGGGGTCCTGGCGGATTCATATGGTTAGGTTAGGTTTGCCGCCGAATTTCGCTGCACACCCGGGTGCCCGGGTGCCCGGCGGTGCCTGGGGGTGAGGTTGGCCGCCGATTTTCGCTGCACGCCCCGGTGCCCGGGAGGTGCCCGGGGGTGCCCAGGTGCCCGGGTGCCCGCGGGTGCCCGGGTGCCCGGGCGTACCCTGGGGTGCCGGGGGGTGCCCGGGGGTGCCCTAAAGCCCTATATAGCCCTATAGCCTTATAGCCCTACAGCCCAATAGCCCAATAGCCCTATAGCCCTACAACTCTATAGCCCTATAGCTCTATAGCCCTATAGCTCAGTAGCCCTATAGCCCTATAGCCCCCAAACCCTATAGCCCTGATTGGGTTTTTTTTGTATCCGGTATCCTTATGCTGTAATATATTCGTTGAGGTCGGGGTAGCAATACTAAAACACGTCTGGAATGCTATGGTGTGTCGCGCCATGCTGTACTCTAATATGCAATGTTATGCCATGGTATGCATTATTGGATTACGCTATGCTCGACGCTGCACTATGCCGTGACATGTTCTGCCATGATGTGTTACGGTATGCTATGTTCCACTATGTTAGATAATGTTATTTCGTCAGATGGTATGCCGCGCTCTGCCATGGTATAGGTTGTCGTAGTATGGAACGGTATGTGCTGTAATGCTTTGTTGTGGAGTGAACTATCCTGCCATGGTATGCTATGGTATGGTCTGTTCGGGTACGGCACGATCTGGAATGTCATGCTACAAAATGGTATGGTGTGAGTTGTGGTGGAACGATCTGCTCTCGGGCTCTGCTTGACAATTCGTACGCTTATTATGCTGTCACGGTTGTTTCATTTAGTATTGCGTAGTTCCATCTGTGCGAGTATGATATGTTATCCTCTGCTTTTTTTTATGAGAAGGAATGCTGCGCTGCATCATTGCAGAAGCTGTCATGGCATTACATGGCATGGTGTGTGATGATGTAAAATGCTATGGTATGGTACGCCATGGTATGGTATGCTATGATATGGTGTATGGTGATATGCTCTGGCATGTCTGCTCAGCTCTGACATTGCCTATGTTATGATGTCGTATGGTAGGTCGTGTCATGATATGTTATGTGGTATGATGGTGTGTAACGATTTGTTATGGTATGGAAAGGTATGCTGTATGATGTTATGATATGATATTATGGTCCGCTATGAAAGTATACACTGTACGTTGGTGTGAACCGTCTGGTGTTTGTATGCAATGATATGGTATGTTATGTTATGGGACGGTAGTATGGTATGTTCAGTTCGTGTGCCGCGCTCTACTATAGCATGCGTTGTAATAATATGTAAGGATACTATACGTGATGATGTGGTATGGCATGATGTGTTATGATATGGTTTGGACTGTAAAAAGACAGTATGATATGTTGTGCCATGATATGTTATGTTAGGATGTCTGATGTTATGCTCCGTGCTGTCAGGATCCGCCGTGCTCTTCGAACGGGCGAGGCGGGAGTCTCGGGGGGCCCTCTGGCGGCCGCCGTATGCAGAGTGGGCGGGTCGGCGCGAGGCGGGAGTCTTGGGGGATTCTCGGTGGACCTGGGGACCTGACGGCCGCGGTATGCAGGGTGAGCGGGCCGGGAGGCCTCTTCGTAAGATCTAACGACCCAAAACATGTCAAAGTGGGGACCTTGCGGAGCTCCGCGCGGGCGTCGTGGATCGGCTCTGGAGCCCCCTCCGTGGCTTGCGGAGCGCTCCTCCAGCGACCCCGGGGGGCAGCGCAGGTCCAAGAAATGCGCGGAGATCTCCGCACATTTAGGTTTGAGAGAGCGTCCTCTGTGCACGCCTCGCTGGTGCTAAATCCCGCCCTCCCCCGCTCTGGAAACAGCCTGCGCCCCTCACCCCTCCAGGAACAGAAGCATCCTCGTCCTAGAGCCGCCCAACAGAAGCAGCAGAGAGAGCGTGGCAATGGGCCAATGAGCTCGGCACACACTCCCCGAGCAGCCCGTACGGAGTAGAACGGCCGTGGCATGGGCCGAGTTGGAGAGCGTGTCCCCGGCGGTCGCTCAGCGCACCCCGTCAGGAGTGTAGAAATTGCGGCAAGGGCCAAGTGGGACAGCGTCCCCCTGGGTCAAACGATACGTCAGGGAGCTCAGGGACCACCCCCTGCGCACCCCCTCAGGAGGTTGTGCGCAGGGGGCCACCCACTGCGAATCGCCTCTGAGCTATCCCCCCCGGAGGGGTGCATATGTGTATATATATACATATATATATATATATATATATATATGTGTGTGTGTGTGGCGACGTCCTGTCTCGTGCAGCGCATACTTAGGCCAGTCACCCAAGCCCTGGCCACGAGCTGCCTCGATGTCACGGCAGCCCCTACCCAGGTTCAACACAGCGTCGAGCGAGGGGCGCTCCCTGCATTTGTACAGCCGCCGCGCGCCCATGGCAGGGCAGCCCGCAGCAGGGAGTGGCCGAGCTCCGCTGGGACCATGTCCGGGGTCCCGCCCGTCCAGCTGCGCTTTCCAGACATCCCCATCAGGCGAGAGACCCCATCACATCGCGGCGTCGACAGGCTCCTGGCTCCACCAGGATCCTCTCGTGGTCTGACTACCTGCCAGACCACCCCAACCCAACCCGAAGACCCGAATTTCGGGTTGGGGGGGGTATGGGCTCCATATATATATGTGTATATATATATATATATTCGATGCTCCCCGACCCCCCCCACACACACTGGAAATGGAGGACAGATTGAGGCCTTCGGGTTGGGTTGGGGTGGTCTGGCGGGTGGTGATGGTCAACGTCGTCGTCGCTGCAGCTCACGCAAGCACTGGGGCCAACCTCGGCCCCAGCCCAGAACTCCTGTTCCCCTGCGGCAAGGCGCAGCGGCACGAGCGGGCTCGGCCTGCACAGCCTGGCGCCGTTCGCGGCCGAGCCGCCACAGCGCGCCCCCAGCCACGTGCCCGATCCACCAGGCGAGCGGCCAGCTCCAGGCCAGCGTGCCCTGCTCCTCCGCCGCCTCTGCCACTGGGCAGGCACTCCAGCGGCTCGACGGCCGGGCAGGTCGGCTCGAAGCCGAGCAGTCCCGAGGGCGCCTCGGGCACGGGAGCGGGCGGCGGTCCTCCCGCCGATCTCGCTAGGGCGGCCTCGCGTTCCAAGGCCAACTGGGACACGTACTCCTGGCCGGGGTGGGCTACGTGGAACCAGAGAATCGCCCAAACAGGGAGGTTCGGCGGGACACCATGTCTCCCTGAACCAAAAGGGGCTGCAGAGCAAGCGACGCTGCCCCGCTCTGCTGCTGATGCTACGACACCCCACTCCCCGCTAATCATGTCCGTGCGCGCACCCCCATCATCATCCCCATCCTCATCATCCTCATCCTCATCCGCATCCTCATCTTCCTCATCCTAATCATCATCCGCATCCGCATCCACATCTTCATCATCATCCTGATCCTTACCCTCGTCCTCATCATCCTCATCCTCATCCTCATCCCAATCATCATCCTCAGCCTCATCCTCATCCGCATCCGCATCATGATCCTCCCTCTTCCTTGTTTCATACCCTGTTTCCCTCTCCATCGCTTATCCTTCCCAGGGAAGACCGCCGAGATGGTTGCGGAAGCCGCAGCCGCGCAGCGCTCGCACGCACCGGTATACGTAGAGTACGGCGAGGGGCCTAGACAGGGCACCCACCTTCTCCTGCTAACCCTCCTCCTCATTCTCCTCCTCCTCATTCTCCTCCTCCTGGGAGGCAGTTCCTGGAAGGCGTCGCCTTGGAGGTCCTCGTAGGACAAGTTAAAGGCTACTGAACCCAATTAAGAGGCCATTCAGCCAAATCAGCCCAGAGTGAGCCCAGGATTCAGCCAGATTGAACCAGACCAGGCCAGATGGACTAGGCTGGACTGGGCCTGACTTCGACCACGGATATACCAGCGCCGATGCTGCATCTAACCTCCCAGGAGTTTAAAGGGGCCCTGGGACACACAAACAAATACACACAAATAACAGGACTCCCCATATGTCCCATACTTTCTGGGTTTGTGTCTTCCCCCCCACTTCACATATTTTCCCATACTCTCCTGGGGATCGACGATGACTTGTGTCTGTGTGTGTTTTTCCCCTCCCGAGAGTTGCAGGGGAGAGGCCAGGAGGAGAAGGAGGGGGGGAGGGGAGGGGAGGGGAGCGGGCGGGGCGAGGAGCAGCGGGCGCGGGAGAACGCCGACCCGAAGGGGGAGGAGGAGGACGAGGAGGAGGAGGAGGAGGAGGAAAGGGAGGGGGAGGAGCGGGAGGAGGGGAAGGAGGAGGAGGAGGAGGAGGAGGAAGAGGAGGAGGAGGAGGAGCCGGGGCGGGAGCAGGACTGGACGAAGGGAGGCGCCGCTCCTGGTCTGGAGGAGCTGGAGCAGCTGAAGGGGCCGGAACGGCTGGAGGGGCCGGAGGAGCTGGCGGAGGTGGAAGACTGGAGGGGCGTGCGCTGGTGGAGCGGAGGTGGGAGGGGGAGGAGGGTTGGAGGATAAGCACCCTGCTAGATCCCCAGATTGGGCGTCACGCGCACCGCTGTGGAGAAGATCGTATGTACAACACCCAGCTTTGGTGGCACACAGCCACAGCGGGTTCTAGGCTGGGGGTGCCGTGCCATTAAAAAGTCTCCCCAGCCTGCTCTGCAATCGAAGCCCTCTCGATTATCAATGATTCCTCTTTCTCCTCCTCATCCTCCTCCTCCTGCCTCATCCTCTTCCTCTTCCTCTTCCTCTTCCTCTTCCTCCTCCGCCTCCATCATCATCATCATCATCATCATCATCATCATCATCATCATCATCATCATCATCATCATCATCATCATCATCATCATCATCATCATCATCATCATCATCATCATCATCATCATCATCATCATCATCATCATCATCATCATCATCATCGTCATCATCATCATCATCATCGTCATCATCATCATCAGCATCATCATCATCATCATCAGCATCATCATCATCATCAGCATCATCATCATCATCAGCATCTTCATCATCATCATCATCATCATCATCATCATCATCAGCATCATCAGCATCATCATCATCATCATCATCATCATCATCATCACCACCATCATCATCATCATCATCATCATCATCATCATCATTATCGGCATCATCATCATCAGCAGCAGCATCATCATCATCAGCATAATCATCACCACCACCACCATCATCATCATCATCATCAGCATCAGCATCATCATCACCACCACCATCATCATCATCAGTATCATCATCATCGTCATCATCATCATCAGCATCATCAGCAGCAGCATCATCATCAGCATCATCAGCAGCATCATCATCAACATCATCATCATAATCATCAGCAGCAGCATCAGCAGCATCATCATCTTCATCAGCAGCAGCAACAGCAGCAGCATCAGCAGCAGCAGCAACACCAGCATCGCAATCATCAGCAGCAGCAGCATCAGCAGCAGAATAATCACCACCATCGGCATTAGCATCATCACCATCATCATCAGCAGCAGCCGCATCATTATCGTCGTCATCATCACCACCATCATCAGAGTCATCATCATCAGCAGCAGCATCATCGTCATCATAATCATCAGCATCATCAACAGCAGCAGCATCTTCATCCTCATCAGCATCATCATCGGCAACAGCAGCAGCATAATCAGCATCAGCATCATCATTATCATCATCACCATCATCGTCATCCTCATCACTATCATGATCGCCAACTGCACAATTATGAGCATCACAAGCATGTTCATCATGATCATCATGATCATCAACGTCAACATCAACATGATCATCGCCATCATCATCAGCATTCTCATCATCATCACCATCATCCTGCTCCTTCACCCTTGTCCTTACGAACAACGGTTCCCTGTCGCAGGCCGAGACGTGTCCATCGGGCGGGTCGTGCAATTCGCATGAGGCTTCCTCGCCATCTTTGATCCTGGAGCTCAAAGCTTGCAACAATTTCACGGATGGATGGCGGGCCGTTTTCAAAATCAGGTTGCCGCGCGCCACGAACATTCGCTTCCAAACTTAGCAGGAGTTTCAATGATGGAAGAGTTTCACGGATGGAGTGCGGCTCGTTTTCAAAAGGCCGCTCTCGCCTTTGCGCCGCGCGCATTCGTTTTTTTAAAGCGCGGTTTCAAAAAATTTGGCTCTCGCATCAGAGCCACCCACGGTCGACCTGACAGTGCGCAGCACCTTCAAGGACGGAGCCCGGGCGGCTGCCAACGTGTGGCTCTCGCCTCAGAGTCGTGCACATCCGTTCAAAAGTTGGCAGCAGTTTCAAGAGTGAAGGGCGGGTGGTTTTCAATATGTGGCTCTCTCTCTCTCGATGTCATGACAGTGGACACTCTAACAATCCTGTCAGTGAAGGAAAGATGCGTTGAAAATGTGTAAAGCATGTTCTAACAATGTTTCAAACACATCTTTACATATTCAAAACGTGTTTGAAACATGTTGTAGACATCTGGGAATTATTTGACAGCACTCTCCCTCTCCATTAACTTCCACTGCGCTAGAGCCGCCCACCTCCGACTTGAACAGTTGCGAGGATTCCACGGATGGGGAGCGGGTGGTTTTCAGTTTTCCGGCCGCCGCACCATCGGCGACGGCACGCAGGCCCGCGACCGTGGCTCGGCGGCCTCTCCCGATTCCAGCCCGAGGAGGGGGAGGAGGAGGAGGAGGAGGAGGAGGAGGAGGGAGGAGGAGGTCTCGCCCTCGCGCCGCGCGCGCTCCTCGAGAGCTTGACGAGCTTCGCAGGTGGAGGGCGGGTGGCCTCCGCGGCTGCCGTCCCAGTGCGGGTGCTCCGCCGCGATTCGGGACTGCCAGGGCGCAGCGGTCACTCGATTCGCGGCGCGCTGAAGTCCCAGGAACGTGTTTCTCGGGAGCGGCCAAGAGGGGGGTGTCCAGGAGGGGAGGGTGCAAATCATGACCCGCGGCATGTGCGCGGTCCAGCGGGGGGGCCAGGGACGTAATGAAATAAGAAGAGGCGCCATGAAATCTGGGGAAATATCATGGCCCACGCCATGATATCCACACCCCCCTAGACATCACCCCCCTCTTTTCCGCCCCCGAGTTTCTGGCACGGCTCAGGACTGTCAGGACGAAACCGTGCAGTTGATTCGCGGATATGAATTCCAAGGAGTAGCGCTGGGGTACGGTGGACATGCTGCAGCGGTTGTCTTCCGACGGGGCAGTGCCAACAATTAATATTAAGTAAATGTCTGTAGGGACCTCTGAAAAGGGAACCTGGAAGGAACCTGTATTGAGAGATCGCTGACGCGTAAGTGGTTTACACTGGTCCTCCTCATCCTCTTCCTGCTCATCCATCCCTTTTCCTCATCCGCCACCGTGCCTCTGGGCACGGATTGGGCGTGTCCTCAGGTCCTCTGTCCAATCCTCTGAGCCTCAGTCCTCAGTCCTGAGAAATCATGAGAGAGACCGGAACCCAAACACTCAAATCCGCCGGGCCCTGCAGCCTGCCCCAGGGTTCCCGGCATCTTGTCGCATGAATGTTTCGGATGCCAAAAACCTCAAAAACCCTAGGGAAACAAAGTTTCTGGGGCCCAGGAGGGGGAACCGATCCGAGCCTTCCGTCCCAGAGGGACCCAAGAGGCCACCTGGAGGCCCCAAGAGGCCCCTCAAGCAGCGCCCACGAAGCCCAAAACAGGCCCCAGGAGTCCCTGAAACGATGCCCAGCAGGCCAGGCTCCAAACCTGCCTCCAAAAGTTGCCCCGCCCACGGATACTTGGATGCTCGTTCTGGGGACCGTCCTGGAGCCACTCGCTCCACTCGTGCGTCGAAGCTGCGTCGAACGTCAGTCGATTTGGGTCGACCCTGAGTCGAACCTGAGTCGAACCTGAGTCGAACCTAAGTTGAACTTGAGTCGAACTTCAGTCGAACTGGGGTCGAACAGATCCGTTAGGTGGGCTCCAGGAAGGTCCCCGAAACGAGCATCGAAGGATACCATCGAACATCCATGAAGCCCCATTCCCACAACCCGAGCACGGTGGCGGGATTGGCCGAAGGCCGTTCCATAGGCATCTCTTCCCGGAAGCACCCCGAAGCGTGGCGGTAGGGCGGGTCAGACGTTTCGCCCGAGAGTTCGCTTGTGACCCTGGCGCTCCACGGTTGGGAAGGCGGGCCGTTTCCAAGATGAGGACCTCGCAATGAGCGCCGCGAACACTCGTCGCTTCAAAACTCGACAAAGGTGTCAATGATGGAGAGCGGGTGGCTTTCGAAGTGCGGCTCTCGACTCAGCGCCGCACGCCTTCGCCTTGAACATGTCAACAGCTTCATGGATAGATGGCGGCTCGTTTTCAAAATGTCGCTCTCGCCCTAGCGCCGCGCACATTCGCCTTACAAGACAGCAGAAGCTTGACGAGTGGAGGGCGGGTGCTTTCAAAATGTGGTTCTCGGATCAGCACCTCGCTCTCGCCTTAGAGCCACGCACGTCTGTCTCAACAACAACGTGCAACAGGTTCACGGACGGAAGGTGTGTGTTTAGAATGTGGGCGTTTCGTTATAGCGTTGTACGCTGTTTTGTCTGAAGGCGTACAACAATGCCATGGGATCGTACTCCCAAGAATGGTGTTCTGGCAAGCTTGAAGAAATGTCAAGATGATACGGTCACCCTGATTCGCGGTGTTGAAACCCCTGGAATGGCAATATTATATGGACTGGGACTGCCAGAACGCAACTATTACGTAGAGCTGCGCCATTAAATGTTGGCACGAATGGGGATTATCAGGCGGTTGTCTTCCAATGAGGCACTTCCCGCGATGACAATGAGTTCTTCTCGAGGCTGCTGAAGAAGTGATATTGGAGGGATGGCTTCGTGAAACAGCGTTGATGCGCCTTGGGTTGGCACTGGTCAGCCCTCTCCTCCTCCTCCTCCTCCTCCTCCTCCTCCTCCTCCTCCTCCTCCTCCTCCTCCTCCCCCTCCCCCTCCTCCTCCTCCTACTCCTCCTCCCAGCCGTTCTGGCACAAGTGTGCTTGATACTGCTAACTTCAGAACGGCATTGCAATATCGGGTCAATCTGGCTCGTCTCGCTTTCCGTTTCCTCAGCCGTCTGATCTCCCATGGGAAAAACCATGGCTGGGTCTATAATCCGTGGGTCAAGTTCGGCACGAAGTGGTCAAAAGGTTCTCTTGGTGGTGATTGGGACAGCTCTCAATGGTACACCGTGGGGACTGGAGGGGCCGTACAATGTCAAAATCCTAAGTGTGGGTGTAAGAGGACCTCGAAGGGCGCCCTGTTTTGTAAACACTGTGGGTGGGCCCTTACCAAGTACAGCGGGGATTCTCCCGTGTCCGAAGAGTTGCAAGTTCAAGGGGGAGGTGGTGACCGCGCCGCAGCCGCTGGGCCCAGGCTTGGAGGCTCTCGTGTGGGCACGCCACCGCCTGCAGCAGGTGGCTCCCCTCCGCTGGCGCCAGGGCCCGTACCAGACATCGCAGTTGGTAACGCTGAAAAACTAGCTCGTTTGTGCGCGGTGTGCGGAGATCGTGAAGGTGAACGACGATATCGAACCATCGTTTCGGCGAAGACACCCAGAGCTGCGCCAGCGATCCCTTTCTCTCAGAGATTGCAGCAGGTCGGGGTTCAGGCGCATAAGGCTGAGAAAAGGCTCGAGTCTGAATATACGAAGTACCTCAAGTGGATCA